GTCATCTTCTAACCATCCACTCTACCTGCCACTGTCCTCTGGATCACTGGACATTGTCATCCACCCTACTGCAGCTTCATGCTAGAGCACTTAACCATCTTAGTTCTGGAACTCCAACCTGGGAGATCCTACCACATACCTATCCAGTCTCAATCATGCTTCACATTCTATTCCAGCCCTCTTCTTGCTATTCCCTTGCCCCTACCCTGCCCCAACCCTTTCCAACTTTGAAAGCATAATCAAATCAGCATTGTCATTGCTATTAGAAATGGCATGTGAATCAACATCCTTTGACTCCATTTGCCAAACCTATGATTTTCCTCTACCAAAATACCCTGCTCTGGCCACTCCCCTATATTATTTGTCTGCCCATTAGAATGTAAGTTTCTTCAGGAGAGGTGGTGTCTCTAATTCCCAGCACTTAGCTGGGATTGTAAGTGTTTAATAAATGCTTTTTCATTAATTGATCGAATCATTCATTCATTCCTTCTAAAAAGAATGAAAGTTTGAGTTCTAGTACCTGAATTGTGTCTGTGAACTCCTGGGTTTGAAGTGCAATGGAAAGAGTGAAAGATTTGGAGTCAGAGAATTTGAGTTTGGACCCAAAATTAATTGCTTACTATCTGTGTGATATTAGGCAAGTTGCTTTACCTTTCTAGGTCTGTTACTTGCAAAATGAGTAGACTAGACTAGAAGATTTCTAAGGTGCCTTTCAGTTCTAAGTCTGTGATCTTATGGTAAAGGCTAACTGTATATGGAAGGAGATATGGGCATGCAACCTATATGGTAGTTGTTTTCATCTGTTTGTTTTTATTCTATTTGCTTCTAGAGGTATGATTAAAGAACCGGCACTTGGTAAGAACACACTTGTCTGGTTGATTTAATTTTTTCTGTGCTTATGTAATTAGAGTCCTTTGAGACATAGCACAAAGAACCGTGGGCTTCAAGATTCCCAGGGGGTAGTCGTTGAACCAAAAGACTCAGTGGATAAATTCACAGAGACCACACCCCTAAACTAAGAAGCTGAGTACTCATCTGATTCACCTTGTCACCTCCTTGTTCAAAGACTACAGTGACTCTCCATTGCCTACAAACAAAATACAAAATATTTTCTTTGGTATTCAAGGTCTTCTATAAAAATGATATCAAATTCATATAGAACTACAAGGCCACTAAACAATACATAAGAATCCCTATGGGTCACATAATGACTTAGAAAACCACATATTACTATTATCTATATTATATTGTATTTTTATTTATTTTGTTAAATATTTCCCAATTACATTTTAATCTAATTCTGCCAACAGGTCTCATGTTTGATATCTCTGTCCTACAATATGGCTTTAACTTACCATCACCCCCAGACACTCACAAAGGGGCATCTGGATAGAGCTGAGAACACAAGTCACTAGCTCTCAGAACCAAGAGTTTGAGCCTTCCCCAGACTGCTTTCAAGTTAGGAGGAGCACATATACATTAGGGAGAGCATGGGATTGCAGACCCTCATCATTGTACAGGATCAGATAACTGGAAAGTAGTGCCCTCTGCTGGATAAACTCATACAATGCAATGACATGTTTAGTACTCTTACCATATTGGGCACCATTTTCTGTATGCTCTCTGCCTCATCAATATGGTGTCCAGAACTTAATACAGTGGTAGTTGTCCTTTGTTCTTGAAGAAGATCAAAATGTCCTTTGACTGGCTGATTGAACCTAGCACAATGAACAAGGACATTACATACATCAGACCATCATTTCAAGGAACCTATTCTTCTATTAACTATAAATAGCCTGTTCATATCCTTTGACCATTTATCAACTAGGGAATAACTCAAATTCTTATAAATGTGACTCTGTTCTCTATATATTTAAGAAATGAGGCCTTTATCACAGAAACTTGCTGTAAAATTTGCTCTCCAAAATTGTTGGATCAGTTCATAACTTTAACAATACATTAGTGTCCCAATTTTTCTACATCCCCTCCAACATTTGTCATTTTGTTTTTCTGTCATATTAGCCAGTCTGATGGGTGTGAGGTGGTATTTCAGAGTTGTAATTTGCATTTTTCTAACCAACATTGATTTAAAGCATTTTTTGTCAAATAGTAAATTTTTCCCTTAAAGCTTGGATCTTTGTATTTATCAAACACTAGATTAGTATTGTCATTTACTACTGGGTATTATGTACCTCATCTATTCCACTGAACCGTCACTTTATTTCTTAGCCAGCACCAGATTATTTTGATGATTATTGCTTTACAGTTAGAGGTCTGGTATTGCTAATCCACCTTCCTTCATTTTTTTTCATTAATTCCTTTGATATTCTTGGCATTCTTCTAGATGAATTTTGTTATTATTTTGTCTAGCTCTATAAAGTAATTTTTGGTAGTTTGATTGGTTTGGCACTGAATAAATTAATTTAGGTAGAATTGTCATCTTTATCATATTGTCTCAGCCTTCCCATGAGCAATTAATATTTCTGCAATCATTTAGATTTAACCTTATTTGTGTGAAAAGTGTTTTGTAATTGTGTTCATATAGTTCCTCAGCTTGTCTTGGCAGGTAAACTCCAAAGTATTTTATATTGTCTGAATTTATTTTAAATGGAATTTCTCTTTCTATCTCTTCCTGCTGGACTTTGTCACATATAGAAATGCTGATGATTTATTTGAGTTTATTTTCTATCCTGAAACCTTGCTGAAATTGTTAATTATTTCAACTTGTTTTTTAGTTGATTCTCTAGGATTCTCTAAGTATACCATCATATTGTCTACAAAGAGTGATAGTTTTTTTTTCCTTATTGTCTATTCTACTGCCTTCATTTTTTTTCATCTCTTATTGCTATAGCTAGTGTTTCCAGAACAATATTGAAGAATGGAGGTGATAATGGGCACCCTTGCTTCATCCCTGATCTTATTGGGAAGGCTTCTAGCTTATCCCCATTACAGATAATGTTTGCTGATGGTTTTAGATAGATACTACTTATCATTTTAAGGAGAGCTCCATTTATTCCTATGCTTTCTAGTGTTTTTTTAAACAATTTAAAAAAATTTTTTTTAAATTTTGTCAAAAGCTTTTTTTGCATCTATTGAGATAATCACATGATTTTTGTTAGCTTTGTTATTGATAGGGTCAATCATGCTGATAGTTTCCCTAATATTGAACCAGCCCTGTATTCCTGGTATAAATCTCACCTAGTTAGAGTATATGATCCTAGTGATATAATTCTGTAATCTCTGTTAGTAGTTTATTTAAATTTTTGCATCAATAGTCATTAGTGAAATTGGTCTATAGTTTTCTTTTGGTTTTTGCTTTTCCTGACAAGTATCAGCAACATACTTGTGTTGTAGAAGAATAAATGAATTCACAGGCAGGTGAACAAAAGATAGCCAGTCTCATAACCCCTCAAAAGTTTGCTGTTAAACCAAATGAATCTCTCATTAAATAATTTCAGGCAGAGTAGGGGAAGATATTTGGGGAATATAACTGAGGCTCTAGGGATACTCTCAAAGGCAAAGACTGGACTGAAATGATTAGTTTCTTCTGACAGAAAGTTGGTGGGAGAGGAAAGAGAAAGAAAAGCATATGAGCTCTTAATTAAGGTGACTACAAAGAAAGAGTTAAAAAGTTGTTTGAACTTTGAAGCATCAATGGAATGGGTATATCACCCAAAGTGACCTCTTTGAAAGGGACAAGATTTCCTTGGACAACAAAGAAGCAAATTTTCAATCTCATACTGGATGCCCATGATCCTATCATCACCATTCTCCTCCACTCCCACCCCCAATCAGTTTGCTGTGGGCTCAGAGAATATACTCATGTTAATATTTGCCTCAGCAAAACATAATTAGGAAAGTAAATCTAATGGAGAGGAGATGAATCATATAATGAATTCTAAGTCAAATAGAAATGGTTTTGAATTATCTATGTCATTTCCCTCCTCCATTAGAGCAGATAATTGAGATTGTTATGTGTAGATTGGAAAACGTGTTCCTCACTTGTGTTCCTTTCAAAGTGACATACTAGATTTTTCTCTCTTCACCCCTCCCCACAGGACCATTCCTTGACTTCAAAGTGATTCAGAGACTGCCACCAGGGTACTGTAAGACCCGGCACCAAACCAGTCCAGAACAATGCAAGGAGGGAGTTTGAGAAGTCCAAGATGAAGAGAAGGTAATTCATGGACAGCAAAAAGTTACATGACTAAAATCAAAGGAAAAGGCGGGGCTGGCCAGTTAAGAATGGTAATGATTGTGCAGGGAACTGACAGGTCAAAAATCATAATCTAGAACTAGAAATGATGTTAGAGTTCAATATATTAAAACCTATCTACCCAATGTCCTAGAAATCAAAAAACATAAATTACTTAGGAATAAATTCTCTGTCTGAAAAGAACTGCTAGAAAAATTCAAAGGCCATCTGGAAGCAATCAGGCTTAGAACAACATCTTATCTATATTCCACAATAAATTCAAAATGGAAATACAATCTGAATATTAAAGATCACACTGTAAAAAAATTAAAAGAGAAATAGATTGTATACCTTCCAAAACTATGAGGAGGAAATTGATTCTTAACCAAGCAGGGAAGAGGGCAATTACAAGAAATAAAATAGATAATTTTGATTGCATTATGGTGAAAAGATTTTGCATGACCAAAATTAACGGATTGATGATGAGGAGAACAGTCAACTGAGAAAAAATTTTATATCTAATATAAGTGTTAATAAGTGTTTGGTATCCAATATTTAGACAACTAACAGAAATGTATATGTGTGTGTGTATGTATATATCTATATCTATATATAGATATAGATATATATATGTGTATATGACCTGACTAAAAACCATTCTATAATAGATAAGTGGCCAGAGGATATCAGCAAACAGATCTCAAAAGGAGAACATCAAACTACTAACAATCATATGAATGAATGAATGCTCCAAATCACAAATAATAAAGAGAAATTTAAATCAAAACAACTTAGAGGTTTTACCTCATACTCAGCAAATTGTCAAAATTGACAAAAGGTGGGAACAATAACTGTTGGAGGGGTTGTGAAAAGACAGGTACACTAATGTACTGCTGATGGAGCTGTGAGTGTGTAGTATCATTCTGGAAAGCAAATTGGAATTAAATAAAGTAGCTAAAATGTCCATAAACTTCCATGTGTATACACACACACACACACACACATACACACATGTATATATACATATACATAGATGTGTATATATATACATATATATGCACCATAATATAATATGTATATAATACAGTTGTACCAAGNCATACACACATGTATATATATACATATATATGCACCATAATATAATATGTATATAATACAGTTGTACCAAG